AGTCACGGAAATGGGGTGACACTGGAGGTATCTTGATTTATATATATAGTAGGTGTAGATGGGCCTTTCCTAACCTCACAGCCTTGGGTGTTTGATTCAGTAGCAAGTTACAAAGCTAATCCTATATGAATTTTTATGAAACTTACTATTATAATTTACATAAGTTAATATGCGAATAACTACACTAAACGAGCAGCTTACATGGTGTAGTATGGTCAAAGATTTGCGGGGGGAGTGGGTTCCCATTTCAACGCATGCGGAGAAAGCTAGAATGGTCCCATTTAACGATCAAAGGATCAAATTATTAGAACATACATGTCCAGGAACATCTCTCGTACCTAACCATCTAACCTACGTCCCTAGGTAATTATACGTGATGATATCACACGTCTAGATTGGTTATTATTACCTAATAACCATATGATGCGTTCACCTAGGTAGGTAGATATACCCAAGTTCCAGGAAGCCCTGTTCAGTCAGCTTGGTCTATATAACTACCTGGTTATTTGGGAAGGTTTGCTTTGATTAACAGGTAACTTATTTGGAGACTACCTAGGTATTATCCCCATAACCAGCTCCTAGTTAGTATAGGTCAACATCACGAGCGAGTATAAGATGACATGACGGTGCCTGCTTGCCCAGCCACTACTCAAACCGGGGTATAAGCAGGCAAGGCAGGCCTGCCCTTGCTCCCCCGCAAACAGCAGATAGCTTCCAAGTTAGATAGTGTTTACCCCAGCAGCCATGCAGTCTAGCTGACAATCAAGGTACCGCAAGAATCCTCCTCAGCTAGTATCAATCTATAAATTTACTTACGAGGCTCTTGTGTGCCCCCAATTTGTCGTTCCGAGTGATCTTGTTCTTACTCTCTCATCGTTCGACTTGTGATCCCGTGGTCTTGTATGACCTAGCTCATCGTCACACCAGAAGCTTGGACGTAGTATAAAGTATGGCAAGCCTACGGCGCGTAACGGCGGCATTAGCTTTCGTCTCGTCTCCCATCGTCTACGGTCTCTACCAGAATGGCTCGTCTTTTTCGCCTTGCGACTCACCCCTCTATTGTCAAGGTGACGTCCTAAAACAGATCGAATTAGCTCGGCCTTTCTCCGATTCCAAGACATTCGTAGACCTGTAATTGTTAAGGATCATTAAGATTGAAATTGCATCAGCTAATAGATAAGCAGGCCGACAAAGGTGCCCTTGGATGAAGTTCTTGCCGCCTTCGACAAGCTCGCTAAGCCCCTCAGTAACAATACAGAGCTTAACGACTTCCTGTCAACTTATTTTGGCCAGGCCGGGACCGAGCTAGCTCAGATTCCTAGGGACCAGCTAAAAACTAATCCTGTGTTCCTAGATGACATTGATGATTCTGCGGTCAAGCAATTTGTACAAAAGGTCATTGATATATGGCCCGATTTGACCAGGACTTGTAAGCAGTGTGTTAAGACGGCGATCTTGTGATAGATCATACCATGTCTGAATACACTAACACTGAGATTTATAGATGTGGGTGCCAGCAACTGTACGGGATGTGTCGATAGTTTCATTCCGGTCAATCGCACTTTCGTCGTCGCCGGTGGCAGGTTCAGGGAGCCCTACTACTGGGATTCGTTCTGGATTCTAGAGGGTTTGCTAAGAACTGGTGGCAGTTTCACTCAGATCTCCAGGTTAGCCGTCTACCTAACCCCATGGCTATATACGAGTTTAGCGTACTAACACACCATCAGGAATATCATTGAAAACTTCCTCGATTTCGTAGAGCAATTCGGATTTGTTCCCAATGGTGCACGCTTATGGTACGAACGGACAATCACTATCCTTTTCCACCTCCGAGCTCTACCCATTCCCTTGACTACCTCCCTTACACTTAAAAGACATCTCAAAACACGGACGCTAACTCAATTACAGTATGTTAACCACATATTTCCACATTCTCCTCATATGTGTGTCCCTAATTAACAAGGACGTTTGTCGAGTGAGAGATTATGATAATGACAAGGGAATTAACACACAACAGACTATCTGAATCGCTCCCAGCCGCCTCTCCTAACGCAGATGGTTAAGACTTATATCGACTATACCAATGATACAAGCCTCCTTGAACGCGCGCTGCCTCTGCTCATTAAGGAGCATAACTTTTGGATAGAGAACCGCACGCTAGCAATCACGTCGGGCGATAAAACCTTTCATCTTGCGCAGTAAGTAACATCTAATAATTATGATTTAATGGCATCCTACATTCTAATATAAAATGCGCAGCTATGAGGTCCAAAACACTGAACCACGACCAGAGGTATGTGAATAATGTCATCTTCTTCTCTTTAGCCTCTCCCTCAAAGTCCAGAAATTCCCATGAACCTGGCAGTTAGATAACTGCCAAACCTTTTATCAAGCGTATAAATCTGACTTACGATGCAGTCATATCGCGAGGACTACATTACAGCCAACAACAGGTCATACTACGCAGCCTCCGGTATCATTTATCCCGAGTCGCACCCTCTAAATAAGAGCGAGAAGGCCGAGCTCTACTCTAATCTTGCTACGGGAGCTGAATCGGGATGGGATTACAACACACGATTCATTGCCAACCCATCAGATGCCGCCAAGGACGTTTATTTCCCGCTGCGCTCTCTCAATACCAACAATATAGTCGCCGTGGACCTGAACTCGATACTATATGCCAATGAGATGGTCATTTCGGGCTATCTAGATGAGAGTGGTGACAGCACGCTCGCTACGGAATTCGAACAGCTAGCTAAGAATCGGTCAGAAGCCATGTATGCGCTGATGTGGAACGATAAGTACATGAGCTATTTTGATTACAACCTAACCTCGGGAGCGCAAGACCTCTATGTACCATCGGACGCAGACACCACCCCGGCGCAGAAAGCAGATGCCCCCGAAGGCTACCAAGTATTCTTCCACGTCGCTCAATTCTATCCCTTCTGGCTAGGTGCTGCTCCTCCGCACCTCCGGGACAATCCCCTGGCCGTGAAGCTCGCGTTTCAACGCGTTTCTGACCTTGTCTCCGAGAAGGCCGGTGGTATTGCTGCCACAAACTACCTCACCGGCCAGCAGTGGGATCAACCGAATGTCTGGCCGCCACTGATGTATGTACTCATGAAGGGTTTGCTCAAAACCCCGGCGACTTTCGGCAAAGAGGATCCTGCATATCTCGAAACTCAGGACCTTTCTCTTAAGTTGGCGCAGCGCTATTTGGATAGCACGTTTTGTACGTGGCGTGCGACGGGTGGCTCTACGGATGAGACACCAAAACTAGAGGGACTTGGTCCGGATAATGTGGGAATTATGTTTGAGAAATGGTACATATGATAGTTCCTAGAGTGTTCTAGACTGAGGCTAACATGATTATAGTATGTCGTTATTCCTTTTATCATATATCCACATGTCTCCTGAACACATACCTCATTATACAGCAGGCATTTTAGGTCTTAGTAATCACTAACTCTTTATAGATGCTGACGACTCGACTAATGTTGCCGGCGGAGGAGGCGAGTACGAAGTCGTCGAGGGATTCGGGTGGACGAACGGTGTGCTGATCTGGGCGGTCGACACGTTTGGCAACAAGCTAAAGCGGCCGGATTGTGGCAACTTGACGGCAGCGAATGTCGACCGGAAGTTAAGGAAACGAGATTCTTTCGGTCAGCGAGCGGTTGAGTTGTCCCCTTATGACGCTCGGTGGATAGCAAATCCCGGCCGAGCACGGTAAAGGGGGTAAGGTGTGTTGCATCATTTGGCATGTAGAAGCATGATATATATGTCAAGATGGGCCTGTAAACATACGGGTGCTGTAACGTAGTATGATAGCCTACATATTTAAGATATAATAACTAAGTACTAGTGGTCAGCCAACAATCATCCTTGGTAACATGATACCGAGGTTTATAGGTCATAAAGACCCGAGACAATGTGAGCATTACTCATGGTATTCTAATCATCTAGTTTTGGCAGGTCAGAGATCGTAATCGCGGTATCTTGGTGGCATGCTTCGTCTTTCCTCTGACATTAACATATGCTCTCTGAGAAACCGAGGCATTGACAATCTATTATAATGCAACCGGCGCGGCCGTTTTTCAAAAGGCCATCTACGATCGGGATGTTAAGCCGACTGGCATGATAATATTGCGGCTGCAGGACTTAAGAAGGTCGAAACAAGCAACCCCAGGTGCTTTCCCACGTGTAGTCAGGTAGCAGAGGTCGGATGCCTGACGGCGGATGCGAGCTGGACTGCGTCCGGAAACTGCGATATTTTTACTGCGCAAGCTGTTGGTCCTATATACGTCGACAGGCCGTGGACCCATCTCGAGATCAGGAATAGCGCCGGCAACAAATGTTGGTTTAAGGATGAAGAAGATCTAAAGCTCGTATGTGACGACTCGGTCACTACCACTCTTTGGGTACATGCATCGGATTACAAGTCTGACAGTTGGTGATCCTCTTGACTTGACATATTGAGTTACAATACTAATACAATTGAACGTATAGTTCTTGTTCACAACCGAGCGCTAGACAGCTACATTCCATTTGATGGTAGCAAGCCTTCCGGGGGCAAAGCTGTCGCTTTGAAGAGCAAAGGACAGACTCAAGACGGCAATAACTACTAGCTTATATGGGCAAAGCAGTGAATATGCTGTATGGGTGTTGTACCTAGTCAATAGGTTGACTCCATTGCAGCAAACGACAACGAATTGTGAATCGAATAGTATATGAAGGTGGGATATCTACCAGAAATAGGAGAGTGGAATCACTCATAGAAGGTGTGGAGAGGTACCTGTCTGATTAGCATAATTTTAGAAGGGTTAGGTAGGTACTTGAGTTAAAGTTCGAGTCTGCTTTATGTACATGCTGATGCACGTAGACCCTTGTATAGATGTACGTAAGCTCCCTACCTGGTAGGCGCATATGCTCTAGCCCGCCTCCAAACGGACCCTAGTACATGCAGCTGGTCCCTGGGACTCGGCTCAATTGTTCGCTGGAAAGGTGAAGGTGGCCTTTCGATTTACACACGTATCTTAATACACGTATCTCAAGTTTGCATCTATCCTAGCTTCTTGATCGTATTGCGATTTCCATTCTTTACTCCACGCTGAGCTCGGGCATTCCAATGCGGCGTCTACGGTGATTTTATACAATTCTCGCTATTGGTTCTGGTTTTACCTTGCCATTGACTTTTCCTACGGCCTACCTACCTACATAACGTAGGTACTAAAAAATAGACCTGGTCAAGGTTTTGTTCCCGTCGCGCAGAACTCGAGTTGATCTGACCTGCGCAACCTATCCGACATGCCTCCGAAATCGAGATTCACAAGGCTAGATGCCTTTACCAAGACCGTTGAGGATGCGCGCATACGAACTACCTCGGGCGGAATCGTCACCATCGTATCCCTGATCATCGTTCTCTATCTTGCCTGGGGGGAATGGTCCGACTACAGGAGGATAGTTATCCACCCCGAACTTATCGTCGACAAAGGCAGAGGTGGGTTAATAACAATATGCTCCCCTGTCTTGATTCAAGCTTCTTACACCCTCAATTGCAGGAGAGCGCATGGAAATTCATATGAACATCACCTTCCCAAGGCTGCCTTGCGAGCTCCTAACCCTTGACGTGATGGATGTCTCTGGTGAGCAACAGCATGGTGTTTTACATGGTGTGAAGAAAGTCAGACTGCAACCAATTACGCAAGGCGGCGGCGTCATCGATGTGACCACTTTATCTCTGTGAGTCGGATCACCTTACCACCTGTCCTAATTCCACCCAGCTAACCAGCTCAGTCATGGCAAAGAAGAAACCGCTGAGCACCTAGATCCCAACTACTGCGGCCCCTGCTATGGCGCCCCTGCTCCCGCTAACGCCGCGAAACCCGGCTGCTGTAATACCTGTGACGAGGTTCGGGACGCGTACCAGCAGGCGTCTTGGGCTTTTGGTAGGGGTGAAGGTGTCGAGCAATGCTTGCGGGAACACTACGCCGAGAGGTTGGACGAGCAGAGACACGAGGGGTGCCGAATTGAGGGCGCGATTCGCGTCAACAAGGTTATTGGTAACTTTCACTTTGCGCCGGGTCGAAGTTTCAGCAGCGGCAACATGCACGTTCACGATCTGAAGAACTACTGGGATAGCCCGGTTCGTCACTCATTTGAGCACGAGATCCACCAACTTCGCTTCGGACCTCAGCTCCCCGAAGACATCACGCGGAAGCATGCCAAAAACAGCCCTTGGACTAACCACCACATCAACCCTCTTGACCAAGTCAAGCAGACTACCGAGGATCCCGCCTTCAACTTCATGTACTTTGTCAAAGTTGTCCCTACTGCGTATCTTCCCCTAAGCTGGTCGACGGCGAACGGACATAACAGACAACTTGACGACGAGATCTGGTTGGGAGGCCTGGGCCACGCAACTGATGGCAGCATGGAGACTCATCAGTACTCGGTCACAAGCCACAAGCGAAGCTTGGCTGGCGGCGATGACGCAGCTGAGGGTCACCAAGAACGGATGCACGCGAGAGGCGGTATCCCAGGTGTATTCTTTTCTTACGTGAGTGTTTTGCTCGGCCCCTACCTAACGAAACAACTAGTAACATGAAATAGGATATCTCTCCAATGAAAGTGATCAACCGCGAGGAACGTGCTAAAACATTCACCGGCTTTCTAACAGGTCTATGTGCTGTGATCGGTGGTACGCTGACAGTAGCTGCGGCGGTTGATAGGGGTGTATACGAAGGTGCGACGAGGCTGAAGAAGCTTCAATCAAAAAATCTTTAGAGGGTGCTACTAGGTACTATTTCAAGTGTAAATTAAATGCCTAGTTATGATGGGTTCTTTTGCTTGTTTCCGTAACGCATAGGAAAATGGAGTTGCCGGTTAGGTTTGGAAATCAGTCTTATCAGTCTTCCTAATTGAGATGCTCAAGTGTAATGTTCCGCTAGTAGTTGTTATTTTAAACTTGTGTCGAGAGTCAGCATTGGCTTGTTTAGGGTAATATGTTTTTGCTTTTTGTGGAAGGATTTGACTGCTCTCGATATAGCATTTAAAGTTGTGGTGGCTTAGATAAACACCTTTGAATAGCACACGACCTTTAAGACAGTGCGTGGAAAAGTGACAATAATAATAATACCTGTACTTTTATACCGAGTTACATCAGACAGCTATTATTATTGTCATCCTTTGCTACCACTGGCTAGGCTCCTAGATGTTCTTTTGTATGCCGACATTTCGATTCGTTATGTCCGCACGTGTGCATATAATCTTTCTTGGTGAAGGCTTTTTTATTATTTGCCGAATAGCTTTGCCCCTTGACGTCAATCTCCCGAAGAATCAGCTGAACCAGGTACTGGACACATTATGTAATTGTCCCTGAATTTGAATGTTCGTAGGTACCTAAGATACAATATACGTAGCTGGTTGGTTGGTGGCTTATGAGATATTGAAAATCTTGCATGGCCGCACGGTCTAACGGCGGGATCTCTTTACCTTGTATTAGCATAACTGGTTGGGGCCGAGACTGCAAGAGCAAACTTAATATCCTCGTATCTTCATGTACATCTATATCTGGCTGGGTCTAGATGATTGGCCAAGATCAATACTCCTATAATTCACTAGCCTTATTTGGAGAAAATGCCACATCATTTTACTGCAAGTGGCTTTTAAGACCCACAAGGACCAGTCCAAGCAATGGCCTCAAGGGGTAGGTAACCAACTCGAGATCCATCTCCCATTCTTTTAAAGCTGAGACTTGGATTCGTATGCGATTTGTTTCCAATTGCTGCGTACTTACGTAGTTAGGTTATATTTGCGAGCTAGAAGGCGATGTTAGGGGCTTAGTTTAACGTAAACATTAATATGTACGAGCTGCCTGTTTCTTATTTATGCACGACGTTAGCATACTTTTTGTTCTGGGTACCTAGGTACCTAGGTACCTAGCTATTTGATATACCCAAACATTTGAATAGGTACATCAAATTGAATTTATTGCACAGTACGTACCAAACTCTGTAACCAATCGACCTGTCATGCAGGATGCAGGATGCATTACATATTAGTTAATTCGAGTTCCTATGTCAACTCACTAATTCACCCAATAAGGAATGGCTGCCCCCGGATTACTTTCATTTCGGGAGACCGTGTGGCAGACAGTAGGGGTTACCCGGCCGTTTGTACGGTTGTGTACTAACCTAAATAGTAGTGGTAGAGGTTCGGTAAGTCCTTTCTTACACTGTACTACGTACCTTACGCAGTACCTACGTAGAAGCAATCTGGCTGGCTCCTGGCTTCCTGGCTCTTTCGACCCTTTGAACCCCGGGGTAATCTCAAATCAAACCTTTGATTGTTCACCTTCTCCTCAACTATCGTACACGTATTTTTGCTGACAAAGTAAAGATTCACTTTTCTATTCCTATTCTCTATAACCCTGCTGTTAAAGCTAGGTACTCTTTTGATGATACATTTCATCGTCCGTTCTTTGCACCTACACCTAGCCTACTAACAGTCATTATTCGTACCTATCACTTTTCCCAGTCTCTTTCCTTCACCCCTTTCGTCAACTTTCGATCTGATTGTATGCCTCCCCTACCACCTACGTACATATTACGAAAAGAAGACAGCATTTGTTTCTTCGCAAACCTACCTGCAGTGCATTACAATCCCAACGACCTAAACAATAGACTCCTGTTTACGCTTACTTCGATCCTCTAAGTGCGCCGATCCTACATTCCTGTCGCATACCATTCTCTAGGTGGACCTACAAAGCCGACTTAATGTTTTATGCGCTCCCAGGGTATCGCCTTCACAAGCTTCGTTTTCGACTTACGAACACTTATTAGATATCCGGTTGGATTGGGGACTGCGCCTCCTTGGCATTCGGTTACCACCTGAATCCGCTCTAGTCGCCTGGTCTCTAGGCGGATCGGGAGATCCAACACTACGATCTGTCTCAAGGTCAATTACATTTACTGAACACCCATTTTGATACCAATTTCGATAATTTTCGCCTTACCATGGCCAACAGGCCTAATTTCATCGACCTCAGGGCCGATTCGTCGGCCTCGGTCAACAGCAGTGTCTCTCGTCCTCTAAGGTCACCGCGATTACATGTCGCTGGGGAGGTTCCTCCCGCCTTATCCCCCCTTGATGCCTTCGCTGCTCAGAGCCGCTTGCTTGCCAAGCAGCTCGAGGACAGCGCCAAAACCGGGAGACGAATGAGCCGTCTACCCCCGTTGACAACAGAAAGCCCGTTAATTGTTCAAGGTCGTTCCGAATACTTTCGCTCTATGTCCTACGACTCGTCTGAGGAACGACCTGAGACCCCCCAGCAAAATACCGGGCTTGGTTTGACTACAGAGGTGGAATCGCCATCAGAGCGGCCTGTTTCGATGCACCCTCGAATGAGTCGCATACCTCCCACGCCCGACCAATCGATCCCAGTGCCTCCAAACCCATTTCTCGAAAACGCGCGCGGTCGACACCTTGAAAAGCTTCAGGAGGATGAAGGGATGTATGGTGCGCGCCGAGAAGAATCACCTGGTGACTTAGAAAGTATAGCGGATAAGGCAACGGACCATAAACCAGCAGAGCATGATTTCGAACCCAGAGAGCTTTCGCCCACCAGCACCCGCTTTCCACCATCCCCAGAGAAGCTCACCAAAACGACCTCGCATGAATCTGCCGGTTTAGTTCCACCAAGGACTATCTTCCCCAAGCGCTCTTCAAGTATAATGTCTGCACCTTTGGATGCCAATAATGACGATACCTTGAGTGCTTCTTTCTACTCGCAGCCATCCCGAAAGCTTTCATCAGGCAGTAGTTTCTCGGGGCCGGGTCTTGCGTCGCCAATTGCCCACTACCAAAGGTCTCCTTCGATTAGTTCCGAAGCTTCTGCGCCTTTGCCACGTCCTGCTTTCAACTTTTCTCGACCGCTCAGCCGGACTGGCACGCCAGGCCTAGATCCACCAACTCGACAAGCTTCATCGGACAGCCAACCATCCTTCGTACTTGCCGATGAGACTGCACACACCCCAGTCAGCATGCACAGCGACACCTTCTTGGACAGTCATTTCACGGAGGACGGAAAAGGTGCTCCTTCATATATCTATTCCAAGTACGCACTACCGAGAGGTAAGTCATTACAGCGCAACTCGGTTATTTTCCGCGACAATGAGCCGCAAAGGAGTGGTCAAGCGCCACCGTCGCCTCCTACTAGGCCTTCGAGTTCCTCGTCGAGAACGCAAGAAGGCCAACACGCAGCCGATTCTCTCCTAGGACGTCCATCCATCGAACGAAGTAAACTTTCCAACGAAATGTCTCTAGAAGGGAGACAGCCGTCGCCCGACCCAAGTCGCCCCTCAACTGACACGAGTAGACCATCTGAGGATGCGCCTAGAGGGCGCACTCTTACATCTCCACTCCATGACCAAGGCCGAGGGCGAACGCCAATGTCGGTATCCACAAGTGACTCGGCTAGCACCATCAGGCCACCGAGGTCACAGCATTCTCATGCGCCTACAACCTCTGAAATGAGTGCGGAAGAGCATTTGGCAAAGGGCATTAAGTGTCACGAGGAGGGCTCTGTAAAAGAATCTACCTATCACCTGCGATTTGCTGCGCGTGCCGGCGACCCAACTGGTATGCTGCTGTACGCGTTAGCTTGTAGACACGGATGGGGTATGCGAGCGAACCAACGAGAGGGTGTCGAGTGGCTGCGGAAGGCTGCCGATGTTGTGAGCGCCGAAATTGCAGAAGATGAAGATCACGCCAAGGAGGGTAAAACAGTAGATTTTATGGATCATAAAACCCGCAAGGCCCAATTTGCCCTAAGCATCTACGAGTTGGGTGTCAGCCATATGAATGGTTGGGGAATCGAGCAGGATAAAGCGCTCGCTTTGCGGTGCTTCGAGATTGCCGGCAGTGAGTCAAACCTCGAGGGAAAATATTTGAGGCGTAATCTAACAAATTTGATAGGTTGGGGTGATGTTGATGCTCTTGCCGAGGCTGGCTTCTGTTATGCTAAAGGCGTAGGCTGCAAGAAAGACCTTAAGAAAAGCGCCAAGTTTTACCGTATGGCCGAGGCGAAGGGCATGAGTATGCCAGGAAATAGCTGGTCAGTTTTCTTTCGGCTGGGTGGCGCAATGAATGCCTTTGACTAATATCATGTTATAGGATACACAAGGCGAAATATAGCGATGATGTTGGCAGCCCGAAATCGAAGCGCGGCCGAAGCAAGTCAAAAAGTCGGGCGATTTTCGGTAAAAAGACGTAAGGAGAAGAAAGCCAAACCGGAGGCGGGCTACACGGTCATGATTCGAGTCGTTTTAACTTGCTCGGCGTTCGGTGGCAGCATCTATCCAACAAGAGCAGCAAAGTACCATTTCAATAGCGTGATGATTAGGGGCCAGGTTGTGTCTCTTGTTTACAAACTGCCATTTTACGCATAATACCCCCGATTATGAGCCAGTATCGAAGAGGAGTACTGCCTCGTGTCGGAGTAGTTTGGCGCTAGGGTACAAAGTGCGGAAGGACCGTGTCAATATCTAAGCTACCGTATATATGAAGAGCACTCTAAAAAGGAGCAAGCTCTTAAGAATACCCATGTGCGTTGTATATAACGGCATCCTCTGCACAAATAAGTTAGGGAGGCGTTGAGGAGCAGATCGTGGATGGCAAGAAAGCCAGATCTATATAGCCTGAAGTTTTGAGAAAAGGTGATGCTGAGAGATGTATGGCCCGCTAGAGAAAGCTGGGTAATTTATAAGATTTTTAGGGGTCGTTCTCGAGAAGAAGAGCAGGGCGAGTCTTTCTCCTGTTAACTCTTATACTGTCAAACGTATCTATTCCCATCGCACGACTCGTGCGCAGACCACCAGAGCTCATAGGGGTTTGGCATTTTACATGGCAGTAATGTTTTTGAGCACTATTCTGTGTGTTTGGTAGTATTTACTTTTTCGCGGCTGACGTACTTGAGGGTACAATTCTTAAGGATATGAAATTTTAGCTTGGTACGCACCTCATACAGAGAGATGTTATTTGAGAAATTTGTACGGTTAAGGTAATCTGGCTAATCGAGGATCGCACAACTTCTCCAACCCGCCCCATCATGTTAAGAATTACTTCCGTAAGGACCCAGGCCTTCGGTCGTCTCACGGGGTCCGTCGGAATGGCTGGCCCCTTTCTCAGCAGCGATTTTCTCAAAGACGTCAGCCAATCTCTGGAGAGCTTCCTCGCCGACCTGGTAGTGTGTTATAATACGATTACCATTCAGTTTCAGGCCGGCTTGTTGACCCAACTCGACGAATCTGGACGGGGTGGTGTTTAGGGATTTTAAGTCAAGCCAGACCATGTTCGTCTGGACGGGAACATCCACCTTGCCACCTAGATCCGTCCACATCTTCTCAACGCGCTTGGCCGTCGCGTGCGTGTCTTGTAGTAGTCCACCCTCGCCGTTGGGTCCTTTCCCGAAAGTCACGTCGACTGCTACCCTGGCCGCGGCCGTGACGACACCGGATTGGCGTAGGCCGCCGCCGAGAGCCTTGCGCACCCATCTCGCGTGCTTTATGAGTGGCTTACTACCGACGATTATACTTCCAATCGGAGCACCTAGACCCTTGGAGAAGCACAGGGAGACGGTGTCGAAGTATTGGCAGAAGTCCTGCAGCGACCCGCCGCCGGAGGCGACTACCTCCCATAGCCTAGCACCGTCACAGTGCATAAGTATACCGTGCTCCCGCGCAAACTCCGAGATCCTACGAACCTCGTCTAATGGCGTGACTAGGCCGGCTAGCGAATTTTCAAGGCTGATGACGCGCGTCGGGCAAGAGTGCACTTCGTCCCCGAGTGTGACGTTGGACTGGATATCCTCTAGAGTTAGATAATTACCGTTACTGGGTACTACGGCCTTGATCATGGCACCGGATAAAGATGCAACACTGTGTATTGCAATAGTCAGCCCCAAGGAGGATACAGTGGCAGACGATGGCGTTTACCCTCCAGCTTCGTATTGGATAATGTGAGAACGATGGTCAGTCAGCACGCCGTGAGGAGGCTGAGTGAGCAAGGTACGTAGAGCGATTTGATTTCCCATCGTACCAGAGAGGACAAAGAGACCAGCTTCTTTGCCTGTTAATGAGGCTACGTGCGCCTCTAGGTCTATGGTGGTCGGGTCTTCTTGAAACACATCATCCAGCAACGTCGTTTTCTGAATGGCAAATAGCATAGCTTGAGTTGGAGTTGTCATGGTATCGCCTATATGTGCATGAGAGTTAAGTACCTAATATAAGAAGCTGGGTTAAAGGGGTAACGACCTACTTCTAAGGTCAAAAGCAGCAGCACCTCGATGGCCAAGCCAGCTGCTAACCGGTTCGGTTTCGAATTTCTCCATGATAGGCGACGTAGTTTCAGGCGAGGAATGAAGAAATCTAAGATGATTAGTAGGTCGGAGCAAAACTGAAGGTAACGGCGGGGTCGCCAAATATTTTATAGTCTGGAGTCGGCGTGTGGACCGGCCGAGCCTCGTGCCTCCGGCGAGCGCCGTTCTAAGCAAAGGCTTCCCGAGAACATCCATGGTTAATACGGAGTATTGCCTACTTGAGAAGACCCGGGTTGTCTATAGATGTGCTTGAGATGAGTGGCTATCGCATTGCCGTGTAAGTGCACTAATGTACGGATAGATACATAGCGTCTGGGTCGGTTAGCTGCTTCACGAAGCCGGATAAACGGGGTATCATATTACCAAATGATACCAGCCGTTGATGATACCTTAATCAGGTGTTACGCGTACATGGAAGCCAACCAATGAAAGTCAGCGTTCCATGGAGAGGATTGCTATATCCAACAAAGCAACTCCCCTTTTCAACTCGCCGGATGACATACATGATGACGACAACGACAACGACAACGACGCGACGATGCAGAATTATTCATAATTATTCAGAATGATACATGATAAGCCATAGCTAATTAAGAGAGATTTATGATACTACTACAAGTGTAGCTGTGACACAGCACGGTGGTATCATTCTATAAGGACGGGGACGGCATACAGAAGTGCTCTTCCTAAGACTTCTGCAGATAGGCGAAATTCGGCAGCACGATTAGCTCATCGCATCACATTCTCAGGTTCACTTCCGGGTTGGATGGACATTGATTGGGCCGATCTTGTCGTCCATGGGGCCCTCCGGTTGAACCTCCGATGGAATGGCCTTTCCAACGCTTTTCGGAGCCGGGATTCGCGTTAGCAACACGGGTCTTGAGGGTTTTCGGTATGACTCACCCGGTGGCAGGATATTATTACGGCTCTTGTTAATATTGACATTGAGATAATGATATTTATCCTATCTCTTTATAGTTGGGTAACGGTGCAGTAGCTTCGACTTGTAGTTGTCTAAGGTCAAACCCCCCTGTCGGCCACGAGATACAGTTTTAATGGGTGTAACGGTTTGGTGGTCTTGAAGCTGTGGGAATCTCCTTATTTCGTATTACTGTAGTTAAAAGTCATGAGCCCCTTCGTGATACACGAAATAGGATGCACAGCATAGAACACACCGGAGAGCTTATCTGAACTTGTGTTAAGACTCTCGCACTGCTCACACAAAAGCCAGACCTTGGTCCAAGACACAGCAAATTATTCCTACCAAGGTGAAGAAACTTAATTTATACGCAACTTGATGGTAAAACATGGGTAACATCGTCAACACGGCTATCTCGCGTAGATGGTGTTCAGGTGGTGGCTAGGGGGTTGTTTGCCTAGGACGGTTATGTGTTTAGGTAGGTGCGTTACCCCTAACGTGTTACCCCCTAATATGCTGAAGTTTGCTGTTTCGTGAGGAAAGCGTGACCCTACTTATAATTAGGATGTCTCTATCGTATTGGTGTGGTTTGAGATGAACGTTTTGAAAGTTTACAGGAGGCAGTTGCATATGTTTCGTCCCGTAGTGGTGCTTCTAATTCTACCTCTCTTGGCCTTTAAGTACACCTCAAACCCCCTTAACGAAAACATCATGTCCAAATAGCAAACCACATGTAGTCGTCCTCTCATCATCTACCAACCACGCGCGTAGAGCGTGTATATACGCGACTGACAACAGGTGCACAACCCCTTTTTTCTAGGCAACACATCATAATCCAACTGAGTCACTCTCTCATCACTCTCAGTCGCATTGCCTTTTTTCTTCATCTGCACCCGTCCTCCACGCTGTTTATGCTCATCACTTCTCATAACACGGAAACTGTCACTCCTTTACTCCTTGTGAAAATATTACCGAAATCAATCAAAGGCGTAACAAGGCTATATTGCGAAAACACGATGAAGTCCTTCACTGCCATCACTGCGGTGGTGCTCGGAGCTGCTGCTCGAGTAGCTAATGCTCAAGGCTTCGTTTCCAACTGCACCTGGCAGACTGGCTTCATGTCGGACAATTACCTGGGAATGTACTGCAACAACAACAACTGGGCCGAGTACAGCTACGACTGGACTTGGTAAGTCTTCGCTAATAGGAAGTCATTTGGACTGCATCTACTAACTCGGAGACTCTGCAAAGGCTCGACACCAACGTTTGCCTAACCAACTACGGTGGCAAGCTCTACCCCTACGTCAGGTATGAGACCTTATCCGCGTCTTACATCTTTCTTAGCTTGTTAATATTAATGTTGGATAGTGGAAGCTACTGGTCTACCTGTGGCAACTGCGCGGTTCGCGGGAGCAACGTCGACTTCATCCTGACTTGTGACTGCCTCAATGGGCAAGGCCGTTTCGCCTCTTCTACCTACGATCTCAGTGCGATTACCCGTCTCATATTAATGACAGTGTTAGTAGTACTAACCCATTATCCAGATCGTGTTATCTGGAATCACGACGGTGTTCTAGGCTGCTTCAACCACATCGGAAACAAGACAGAGAAGGGTCCATTCTAGTCTAGAATACTACTCGACTATGTGATATACGCCAGGCTTCAATTTAGAATACGTGATACCCATGTCCGTATTATCCGTGTGCTAAGAAGTTTCGAGGAATAGGGAGGCCGTGGCGATGAACTGCCCATGTAGTAGATTAGCTTATGATATAGTCACGCCTTACTAGGGCTGTGGTGCTTTGACTTCAATTCATTGCGATACGATTTGGTACATACGTCCCACAGATAGCATCCTCATACAATACGTGCTTCTCAGGCTACTAATTATGCAGAGCAGAATATATGGCTGATTCCCTTTTGCACTCATACTTACAGCACCTCGGAGTCACTACTCACGAACGCGATTAAATCAAGTAGGTGAGAAGAATGGTAACTTTCCATACAGCAACATACACGTCGTTATGACTTCTTATAGGCGACTTAAAAGCTCATGCTAGTAATTTGCATGCCAGGGATTCTTTGCTACCCCTGTAGCGCGAAGCTGGGGGCTACATACATAGTATGGACTAATACCGCGAACACCATCAAAATTCATAATTCGATCTAGTCTATTACCATGCCTGACCCACATACTAAGATGCTCTGTAATAAGGCTATAAGGTTAGTTACAGGCTAATCCGCAGGGGAAACTATGGATAGTCACGGTTAGTCTCATCCTTATGTGCTGTCTCTAATAAGTCAAGATCATGTATACTGTAGTTATACATACATGTATATATAGATGCCTGTATAGCATATCGCGTCCTTCATTTCTTACCGTTACTTTCTTTTACTTCTCAGTCGCTCTTTTGCTCACGCCTATTGCAGACTCTATCTGCTTTTCACTCGTTAAATTCACCGTCGCGGTGTAATTCAAAATGATTTTCCCGTCCAAGTTGTCCATCCAGGCCCTTGCGCTCGTGGCTGGCTTTTGCGCCGTGTCCGCGAGACGCTTACCGAATCTGCATCGTCCGTATATCGCGGCCGCGAACCAGATCGAGAGCCATGCTGAGTCGCGCGCCACGGGTACTGGACCTAAGGGTTTCCTTACGCTTGACGATGGTGCGCATGTTGAAGGTTCCCACGCTGCGTCTGTGCATAGCACTTCCGCGGTCGCGGGTGAGAGCTTCAGTACTTGCTTAGAGGTACGTTTGTCGATATCCTTCTTGCTTAGGTCCTCGAACACGGGAATTGACTTAATACCGTAGGATACCACAGCTTCTGTAGCCGACTGCCAGACCGTCATTGGCGATATCCGAGCTAACAACGGTACCATCAAGGTAGCCAGGGGATTCTGCTTGAACTGGTGGGAGGGCGGTTGTCTCGGTCGGGTGTGCGGCGGTAAGAGCCAAGAGGTGTTCTCGGAAGATTCACAGTGGATCGCGGACACGATGACTGCCTTGATTCTCAACACGTGTATCGCCGAAGGCAAAAGCGGTGCGGCGGCGGACTGTGCAGATGTTAGTACTACTTGTGGGACGTACAAGCTGTCGCTGCAGGCGTACACGGGTATTTAAGCGTCGAGTCGGGCGTGTCGTTTTTTTAGCTTGTTATGGGATCTGCGAAGCTTGAGGGTGTTCAGTTTACTCGGTAGTGAATATCCTAAATACCTAAGTAGTAGTAAGAGGATGGCATTGTCTTTGATGGTGAAAATACTTAAACTATTACAATAATGCATAGGAAAGTGAAAAGCATTACTGGAGGCTCGTAGTGCGAATAAAAATCGAAGAGGGTAGACCAATATGCGAACAGATACCTATGCATATACTAATCTAGATATAACAATCTAGATATAACAATCTAAATATGACAATCTAGATATGACAATGAGTACGAGATAACAACGCAATAGACAATATCCAAAACCTATACGCTCTACTTCCCAGCCGCAAGGATTGCCGCCTCAATAGCATCTCCCAGGGTTTTTGTAGTGCCCTTACCGCTCATATCAGCAGTAATAACACTCTGATCCCTCTGGGCGAGCACCGTCTCAATAGCCTGCAGTACCGCCGCAGCAGCATCCTGGTATCCGAAATGCTGAAGTAGCATTTGTCCCGCCCAGATCATGCCCACGGGGTTCGCGATGCCCTTGCCAGCGATATCGGGCGCACTACCGTGCACCGGCTCGAACAGGCTCGGGAATCGCCGGTCCGGGTTGATATTGGCCGACGGCGCAATCCCGATTGTACCCGTGCAAGCTGGCCCGAGATCGGATAGGATGTCGCCGAATAAGTTGCTGCCGACGACGACATCGAAGATTTGGGGCCGCTGGACAAAATGCGCGGTTAGGATGTCGATGTGGTATTTGTCTACGTTGACGTCGGGGTATTTGCTTGACATCTCGCGGACGCGGGAGTCCCAGTATGGCATGGTGATGCTGATGCCGTTGCTCTTGGTCGCGCTTGTAAGACGCTTCCGCGGCCGGCTTTGCGCAAGGTCGAAGGCGTAACGAAGGACTCTGTCGATACCAGTGCGTGTCATCACCGTTTCCTGGATAACTGTCTCCCTGTCTGTCCCCTCGAAAATCTTACCTCCGATACTACTGTACTCGCCTTCCGTGTTTTCCCGCACGATCCAGAAGTCGATGTCTCCAGGCTTCCGACCGGCCACTATTCATAGCGTTAGTAGGTCAGACAGTGATGATAAAGACTTGTAAAGGTAACTCATAGAAGCGTAATACGTACGAGGACAATCGACACCAGCCAACAACCGACACGGACGAAGGTTGATATACTGATCGAATTCGCGTCTAAACTTCAACAAGCTCCCCCATAACGACACCTCATCCGGCACCAAATCCGGCATTCCAACAGCGCCGAAGTAGATAGCATCAAATCCGCTAAGAGACTCTTTCCAGTCCGGCGGAAGCATGTCCCCATGTTTCTTATAAAAGTCGCAACTAGCAAAATCAAACGTCTGGAAGCTCAACGAGATACCAAACACCTTCGCAGCCGCCTCGAGACACCGGACGCCATATGGCATCACTTCGGTCCCAATACCATCGCCTGGGATGACGGCAATCTTCAGCGGGCTGTTGGCCATATTCGTTCGTGAGGATGGTGAAAAGCGTGAGGGGTCGGTCCAAAGGCGGCGCAGTTTTGCGAATGTCGCTTATTGGTGGAGTAAGAAGAATATAGTAACCAGTAAAGAGGAAGAGGAAGAGGAAGAGGAAGAAAAACTTGTCCCCCTTAAGTTTACTTATACTTGTTTATCTCACATCAATGTTAAAACCCCGAGCCTTCGGTTAAAAAAACAACGTCACCTATTACCGATACCTTAAAACCCTATACCGTATTCCTATCACTAAGTAGCCTACTTGCGAGCCTCGGCTTAAGTGTTTTACTGTCTCATTTTCGTTAACTCTTCTACCTGAGAGAACTAGCTAACCTATCTACTGACACATTTAAAATCTACCGGGATATATGATCCTGTAAGGACTTTGTCTTGTTTTTATTTTCTTCCCTCTTCTCATTCACACCTAACATGAGTCTATTTATTCCCTTTCTACTATGCCTCGATGTTCTCAAACAGAAACGACGGCTGACCAGGGACAGCCTGCTCCGCAATCGGGGACTTGATGTCGACCTCCCCGCCGTGTACTAAGTCGGTTCCTGTCTTGCTGCCCTCGGTTACTAACAAGACATCGATACCTAATAACCCTGCCGCTCTCTTTAGACCGGGCACCATGGCCGTGATAGTCTTAGACTCGTCGAAGTCCAATTTACGTTCCACCACAACGTCGATCGGCTCTCCATTACGGAGCCTCTTCTTGAGGAGCTGCACAAACGGCATCGCCTCCTTCACCTTACCTATCTTAGCAATGCGACCGCTTAGCTCCTTGTCAGTGCACTTCTGCGTCTTGGTTGCTTCATCCCATGTCTCCCTAATCAAACTGATGCACTCATTCTGCCACTTGGGGAATTCTCGAGTTATGAAAATCGTCAGCTTTTTGGGTTTCTTAGGGTCGAAGTTCATTTGCTTTCCCTTGGCCATCTTCTTTATCTGTGCCGACTCGGCCGATGTGATATTGGACTGCGTCGTAAGAACGTAAGAGCGGGCCGCGCTAAGGCCGGCATTGGCCTCTGGTACTTCGGGCCACCGAGCTACCTGTATCGTCCGGGCTTCGTGGAGTATCTCAAGCCATATGTACTCGGCCCAGTGCGGTGCAATCGGGGCGATGGACAGTGCTTGGAGTCTCATGTACTTGAACACCAACTCCTTATTCAACGGGATTCCAGCCGCCACACAAGCTCCTCTGTACACATCCTTTGCATTTATCAGGTCATAGAAACACGACTTCAGGGCCATTTTGTAATTCGTGTCCTCGTAATGATTCTTGGCCTCCTGCAGTAGCGTGTTCATTTCGTTATCGAAAAGGGCGTCTTCGAAATCATTCAGCTCCGTTCGAAGATCCTTACTCTTAGCCATCTCTTCGCACCATTCCTTCAGAGTGTGCAGTCGAAGGCTAGTGATAGCAGCCTATTAGTTCCTCTATCGCTTAGCTGCAACTGATATTCGGGTGACTTACATAGTGTTGTCGGCAACGTCCTCGACGAAATTAGAATCTTGAATGGTATCCCCAGCATCCGCAAGAGCTATACGAGACGCATCCGCGCCGAATTTCTTTACCACTGCAGCCTGGTTAGCAACGTTTGCGAAGAATAAATACCTGGCACAAGCTTACCATCATCGAGAGTCATAAAATTGCCAGTGCTCTTAGACATCTTTTCGCCGTTAAGCTGGAGATGCCCATTTACTCGAATAGACTTGGGCCAGTACTCCCTAGGGAATAGTGCGATGTGGTTGTAGAGGAAGAAGGTAAGGTGGTTGTTGATTAGGTCCTTGCCGCTCGCTCTCAAGTCAAGGGGGTAGAAGTATTCGAATTCGCGGCGCATCGACTCCAGGGTCTCCTTGGGAATTTTCGACTTGGCCAGGACATCATCGGTAAGACTCGCGCGGCAAAAGATATAATCCCAAACCTCGTCAATCATCTGTTCTGGTGCAATGTTGCCACTGCCTTTTTCCCGTCCGAAGAGGTCACTGTGGAGGAAATGAGCGACGGTGTAGTAACTCATGTAAATAGTCGAGTCACTTAAACTTTCCACCAGGAATTCAGGCGCCCATGGAAGCTTTGAGCCGAGACCGTATGTCCTGGCGCATGCCCATTGCTTGAGCCAGTCAAGCACTCCCAAGAATGCATTCCGCGCGTCGCTCGAATAAGTGTTGAGACCATTTCCATCCTTGTTCTCGACATAGTTAGTAGCGATTGTGCGCCATGAATCCTCTCCGTAGTCGATATAATACTGCTCCATGAGTGCGACCGTACACTCATCGCCACTCCTGCTGACAA